CTGGAAAGAAGGCTGGGAGGATGCAGGTGTGTGCACGCACATGTGCGTACACGAGTATGTAATTTGCAGTAATTTAGAATTGTGGTCATATTTCCATTGCATCTAAATACTATTCTGTTTCCCAAATGTCTGCAATGTTTGCATTACTTCTGTAATCAGAAAGTAAGTAACTTCCTTTGAAAGAGAAAAGGAAGCTCCCTCTCTTCACAGAATAGAGGAGGAACTGAGGGGGAAGCAGATGGGGTCAGTGGGAGCCAGTTAGGAGCTGCTACGTTGGAAGTGAGAATGAAGGGAGAGGAAGATTCCAGAGACTTGGGAGGCAGAAATGTCAGGATTTATGGGCAGAATGAGGAACAAAGGAGTCAGGCATGGTTCTCCGGTCTGTGGATTTGGGGACAGAGCGAGAGGTGCTGCCATTCTCCCAGGATAAGGAACACAGGATGGCAGCCGTCTCCATGATGGTCCCAGTACTTCTTGCCTCCTGATAACCAAACCCTTTGGTAGTCTCCTCTGACGAGGGCTGACCTGTGGGACCGATAGGACACAGCAGAAATGACAGCGTGTGGCTTCTGAAGCTGGGCCGTAAAAGATACTGTGGGGCTCTGCTTTTCTTTCTCTTGGATTACTTGCCCTGCAGGAAGCTGGCCACCATGTCAGGAGAACACTCAAGCAGCCCTGTGGAGACATCCACATGGTGAGGAGCCAAGCCCTCCTCCCAAAACCAGCAGTCACTGGCCAGGTATGAGGGCAACCCGGGACAGCACAGACTCCCCCAGCCCAGGCAAGCCTTCCACTGAAGACAGAAACTAGCTACAAGAAGGTTACTTGCTTTATATCACTAGGTTTGAGGGGAATTTGCTATACAGCAATAGATAACCAGTGCATGGAAAGAGGCACAGGCTGGAGCTGTCTGTACCCTTTTGTGGTTTAAACCACCATCTAGTTTTTCTAACTTCCGCTCAGGATATAGAGGGCTGGAAAGAGTACTGCCCCCACCATAACAACAAAAATGCTAGAGAACGTGCAAAGCCACACATCTTCCGGAACACATCTGAGAACTGAGCTTGCGGCTGCCTCCCTATTAGAGTCCAATGGGGGCTGCCAGAGGGAGACCAGGGTGAGGAGGAGGGAGAAGGGGTTCACGCCTTCCTCCTGACCTGCGTCTGGCCAGCGTCAGCTCAGCAGGGTCGGACGGGGTCGGCTTCCTGCAACTGCCAGCTCTGTTCTCTCATGGTTCCTTTTGCCTCCAATTCCTGGCTAACCAATCCCGAAAGTAAATTCTTGTTCAAATAACCAGACAGTTTCTGTTTTCCCAAGTGGATCTCAACTGCTAAAGCACACAAATTCAACTCAACTCCTCAATGACTGCACCTGGTTCTTTTAGGGGCACAAATAGGAGCGTGGTGGAATTCCTGGTGTCCACCCGAGCCTCTGTCATCTGACTCTCAGTTACCTTTCCCGACTCACCTCCACCCCACGTGGTCTAACTCATAGCACTACTTCGTGCTCCCAACCTGGCATCATTCTCCAGAGCCCCGTGCCTCTTACCCCAACTCTACTGAAATAGAACAATGGAAAATCAGGCACCTTGGCCTTTGAGGAAGGACTCTAGAGAAGGAGGGCATTTGGGGGTTTTTTTGGTGTTTATCTAATACACTGATAGAAATGGCATCAGCAAAAAAGAATGATTTATGCGTAGGTTAGTTTTCCCAACTCTGGTTCGTCGTTATTGATGTTTTTATTCTTCAAGTTACAAAGCAAGAAAGAAAACCCTAAAACACCAGTCTCAACCCTTTCCTTTTTTTTGATACAGAGTTTTACTCTGTCCCCCGGGCTGGAGTACAGTGGCACAATCTTGGCTCACTGCAACCTCTGCCTCCTGGGTTCAAGTGATTCTCCTGCCTCAGCCTCCCAAGTAGCTGGGATTGCAGGTGCCCACCACCATCTCTGGCTAATTTGTGTATTTTTAGTAGAGATGGGGTTTCGCCACGTTGGTCAGGCTGGTCTCGAACACTTGATCTCGTGATCCACCCACCTCGGCCTCCCAAAGTGCTGGGATTACGGGTGTGAGCCTGTAAAAAAGGGAAACGTCTGACCTATTTCCCTTTTTAATCTTAAGTCACCGTGATAACATACTTCTCCCACTCACTCAGGTGAGATGAAGTGCTGAAAAGATGACAAGATGGTAATGTGTTTGCGCGCGCACACACATGCATGGACACACATGAAGACTTAATTTACCTGAAATAATGATGCTAGAACTTCCAATGACATAGAAAACATTTTCAGTGAAGGAGATGTCTGCGCTGAGTTGGCATTAAGAAACGACAGAACCTTTACCTCCTACAGCACTGCTGTCTATCAACTAGGAATTGTTACAGAAAAGCATAGAATCAACCTTTTGAAGAAGGCTCCAGACCTCCAACAGAAAAAAAGTATTTTAAAGAAACATAAAAGTGGCCAGGTGAAGTGGCTCACACCTTTAATCCCAGCACTTTGGAAAGCCAAGGCGGGCAGATCACTCGAGGTCAGGAGTTTGAGACCAGCCAACAAGGTGAAACCCCATCTCTACTAAAAATACAAAAATTGACCTGACGTGGTGGCGTGAGGCAGAGGCAGGAGAATCGCTTGAACCCAGGAGGTAGAGGTTGCAGTGAGCCGAGATCATGCCACTGCACTCCAGCCTGGATGACAGAGCGAGACTCCATCTCAAAAAAAAAAAAAAAAGAGAGAGAGAGAGAGAAACAAAAAAAGCAATAAAAACAGAGAAAGGTCCTGTGCTTGCAGCTGCTTTGCCAAGGTCACTCATCCCACGTGGGATGATGGTACCCCTAAGGGCACAAAGATTGGCAGCAAATCTTCGCTATTTCAACAGTCCGTGGGTCTCCAAAAGGCTTCAGTACATAGACAGATATATGATATCTGTGATACCAAAATGTTACGGTAGCAATTTTGAAAAAGTGTCTAAAAAGGCTGTGGGGGTAGAGGAGAGGGGGGTGGCGGGAAGGTGTTGAGAAACTGGCTTAGAGAAAGACGGACGAGCCTGTTTCATTCCACTGCCTGGCACGCACCTTAGTATTAGGTTTTCCTACAAACTTGGCAGAAGCAGCATTTTTTTCTTGAGTAAGAAGAGCCAGGAATATAAGCCATGGGAGAATTTAGCACCAAACAAATCTGTACGTGGGGGAACCTACCCTTTATAAAAGCTGAATATCAATTCAAATAAATGGCTGCCTTTACTGCCAACACATTTTTGGGTGACGTCATATGGCTTATTTCTCTACCTGCAAATTGCCGCTTTTTCTAGAAAAGAGCCGCCGCTGCCCTCTAAGTCGGGCTGTGAGTCCAGGTCCCTATCATCACATCACAGAGGAGGGGTGCTGCCCGCGTTCCCAATACAGTCGGATGTGGTTCCCACGGCACCCGCCCGCACTGCACTGCGACGGCGCCTGTGTGTGCGTCTGTCCCTATGCCTTGTCCCGGCACCTCTGTGATCAAAGCACAAATCATCCTGTCCACAGTTCCAGGTCCTAGCTACCAATTACACTGGCATGCCATCCATTGCAAATACTTTTGAAAAAGAAAATAAACTTTTAATCTAAGAAATACAAGCTCCCTTTAAATGATCAAGTCTAGAGAGACACTGAAATGAGACTGCAGTCACCTCCCCCAACTTGGACTAACTAATCATTTCAAAGCCACCTGCTATATGGACTCTAGATTCAGTGTCACCACCAATGGCCATAAATTATCCTAACAATGCCAAACACAGGACACCATAACTCACACCCTATAGCTCAGCAACAGGTAGCCAATCATGAATCAATGGTATTTCTTTGTTGTTTTTGAGACAGAGTCTCACATTGTCGCCCAGGCTGGAGTACAATGGCATGATCTCGGCTCACTACAATCTCCACCTCCTGGGTTCAAGTGATTCTCCTGCTTCAGCATCCCAAGTAGCTGGGACTACAAGCACCCCGCCACCACGCCCAGCTAATGTTTGTATTTTTAGTAGAGACAGGGTTTCATCATGTTGGCCAGACTGGTCTCAAACTCCTGGCCTCATGATCCATCTGCCTTGGCCTCCCAAAGTCCTGGGATTACAGGTGTGAGCCACCATACCCAGCCTGATTCAATGGTATTTCTGTAAACCAATGAGAATTCCTGAAAACCAGCTTCTGTAATTGCCTCTCACCCGATTCACCCTTATTTAAAAAAAAAAAAAAAAAAAAAAAAAAAAAAAAAAAACCAAAACCTCGAGCCTCTTTGTTTCCCAGAGCACTTGGAAGTGTTTACTGAGCTGCAGATCTCAGCCTCAGCCCATATAAACTTTCCACCTAGATTTGTTTTGCCTCAGTTTCCTTCTTGAGGTCAACATCTCGTTATGAGACATTCAGAGTACACAGACGAAATGCACGTTTCCACTCACATAATCACAACGTGCGCCCACTCCACAACCATCAACATCTGCTCAGTTCCAACGCTGCTCACTCACTGTGGTCTTCAGTTATTCAATAATTTTGCTCAAGTGTCATAAACAAGGTATTGTGCTTTGGTGCTATGGGGGCTGACAAGATCTTAAAATCACAGTCACTGCTTGTAGAGAGAAACCAAAGTGCACAAATAATGCTACAATACAAGGCACTCTGCAACAATTACAGAAGAGGATTACAAACCCTGCGCTGATGGTGTTTCAGAGGAGGGAACATGACACCTAGAAGCAGGAAGCCAGGGAAACCTAGTGGTGCAGGAGCCTTAAAGGATGGGGCCAGCCTCTGAGGGGGAAATGCGGCAGAGGGAAGAGTCACAGGCAGAGGGAATGAGTAGTGAGAGTTAAGCGGAGAGCACCAGCAAATGGAACAGCAAGACGGGGGGGGGGGGGGGGGGGGGGCCGCGGACTAAACCCATCATGTTGCTTATATTCAAAAGTCTTAACATCATGTATTTTAAAACTAGGAATATATCATTTTACCTAAAGTAAAAAAGAGAAGAGCATTTACCTCCAGTTGGAAATTTCTTGGCTCGTTCCTCATAGAACCATTCTCCAGTTTTTATTTTGATATTTCTGAAAAATGAGCAAAGAGGAAACTTCAGAGAGAGAAGATATGAATAGTGCTAGATTTACCCCTTTTTTTTCTTTTTTTGAGACAAGAGTCTTGTTCTGTCACCAGGCTGGAGTACAGTGGCACAATCTCGGCTCACTGCAAACTCAGCCTCCCAGGTTCAAGTGATCCTCCTGCCTCAGCATCCCAAGTAGCTGGGACTACAGGCGCCTGCCACCACACCTGGCTAACTTAGTATTTTTTAGTAGAGATGGGGTTCCTCCATGTTGGTCAGGCTGGTCTCTAACTCCCAACCTCAGATGATCTGCCCGCCTTGGCCTCCCAAAGTGTTGAGATCACAGGTGTGAGTCACTGCACGCCTGGCCCACTTGTTTTTTGGTGTTTTTTTTTATTTGTTTGGTCGCCCAAGCTGGAGTGCAATGGCGCAATCTCGGGTCACCGCAACCTCTGCTTCCCAGGTTCAAGCGATTCTCCTGCCTCAGGCTTCAGAGTAGCTGGGACTACAGGCATGTGCCACCACACCTGGCTAACTTTTGTATTTTTAGCAGAGATGGGTTTTTGCCATGTTGGCTAGGCTGGTCTGGAACTCCCGATCTCAGGCGATCCAGCTGAGTGGACTGCTTGTGAACTGGGGGAAAGCTGCCCTGCTTGGCTCACTGGTCCAGCAGCAGCTCCCTACCGCAGGACTTTAACTCCTCTCATCTCAGTCACACGCATGACAGCACAGAGCCCACGTGAGATGCTGACTGCTCAAAACTGACGTCCTAACATGGGTTTTCCTCTTGGTTTTCTGGGGAAGCCATACTCAACCTCAATCTCAGAAAGGCAGAATTGTTAATGTCCTTTTAGGACATAAAAAGGCAAACATGCAAATATTATAAGATGTTCACATCCTTGAAATAATTGTGCCACAAAACTTGCCAATTCCTTTGTTATGATAATTTAAGAAAAAAATTAAAACTTCAACTCATGACTAATTCTCTTCTATAAGTCACGGGATTGACTGAAATAAATTCTCCATTAGGTTCTTTTAGGCTATGTATGAACTCAAGTAGATGTTTTAAAAGATTAATGCTTGCTAATGGAAGTAAAATCACAAATAGATGCCAATCTAGACATTTTTCAAAATATCCTGTCTTCCTCTGTGAAGCGCCAGTAATCGTCAGAAGACACTGGCCAACTCTCTGTCCTTGATCTGGTGAGGCACTGCTATTTTCTGATTGGTACATAAATGATTACTACCAATACTTAGTGACTAGAACAAGGAAAATAAAAAGCATGTAAGAATTCCATAACAGAATATTTTTTGGAGACAGAGTCTGGCTCTGTTGTCGAGGCTGGAGCGTAGTGGTGCAATATTGGCTCATTGAAATCTCTGCCTCCTGGGCTCAAAGAATCCTCCCACCTCAGCTTCCTGAGTAGCTGAGACAAAAGGTGTGTGCCACTGCACCTGGCTGATGTGTGTGTGCGTGTGTGTGTGTTTTTTGTAGAGACAGGGTTTTGCTATATTGCCCAGGCTGGTCTCGAACTTCTGAGCTCAAGCTCCACCTGTCTTGGCCTCTTAAAGTGCTGGGATCACAGGCACGAGCCACTGCATCTGGCCTATAACAGAATTTTGATAATCAGTGACTACTACCTAGCCAAAAACATACAAAATGTTCAACTGTGATATGTCTCTAAAGAGACAGGGAAAAGTTTGCATCCATAAAGTTAGAAACTCAATTATCTAATCCACTAAATCAACACCAAAAAACTTAAGGCAATCCCGGCCTTTCTGAAGACGTTTTCCCCTGGAGCACTCGAGGGAAGCAGAACATGAAAAATCAGGGCGAGTCTAGAGGGAGTAACGGGTGGTGAATCCCCACGCCTTTGAAGGGCTGTGCCTCTCCATCTTCAATTTCTGAAGGTGCGTCTTCAGTCCTGGCAAACAGGACAAGGTCTAATCCTTACAGGAGGAGACGGGAAAGCAAATCCAAAGGGCAGGAATTACACGCCCTGCCCCCACCCCATCTGGTAAATGCACCTTACTTGCAGAATTGCTTTTCAGGCGAGTGACCCATTTCAGCTCATCTACCCTCTCACATGCTCCAGCCTGGTACCCTTGGGCCCAAAAAACCCATATCTGAGACACTAGAGTCAACTGAGCTAATGAGACAGGGAAGCATTGATAAGTAAGCACAAACACACAATCACAGAAAATGAAAACCAGCCACGGAGAAGGAAGAGGGAAAGGTGAAAGCCCCTAAGCAAATCAACACTGCAAATCACGGAAAGGACTCCCCCAGCCCTGGTTTCAGGACCTAGAGACGCAGAGCAATGAAAATTCTAGTCTCAAACCATCTAATGTAACCACCTAATCTCGTGTCATCCCAACTGACTACTCACGCAGTTTAAGCAGGAGCCAATTTGGCAAACAGAGATTTGGGCACAAACTCTAGGATGTCTCGGGCCTATTTGTGATTAAAAAATAGAAGGATAAAAATACTGTGGTATTTTTATAAAAGTAAAATATAAATTATAAAAATACCACAGCATTTGTATCCCTAAACCATACGACAACCAGCACTTTCTGCATTTGAGGCTGTTTCTTTTCAATGCTGGGTTTGGCCCAGGTCTCCATTACCCTTTCTTGCAAAATCAGCATTTCATAATCATTCCACAGTATCTTTTATAAGGACTCCCTTTCTACACCAAAAGTTTTTGTTTGTTGCTTTTTGCTTTAGACAGGGTCTCTCAATCTGTCACCCAGGCTGGAGTGCAGTGGTGCAATCTTGGCTCACTGCAGTCTCAACATCCCAGGTTCAAATGATCCCCCACCTCAGCCTCCCAAGTAGCTGATACTACTGACATGCGCCACCACGCCTAAGTTTTGTATTTTTTGTAGAGACAGGGTTTCCCTATGTTGGCCAGGCTGGTCTTGAACTCCTGACCTCAAGTGATCTGCCTGCCTTGGCCTCCCTAAGTGCTGGGATTACCAGTGTGAGCTACCACGCCCGGCCTAGTCCCAAGTTTACAAAGGAGGACCACCCATCGCCCTTAAAGTCTATGATAGAGGTAAGTAGATCCTCTGTTTCTGTCCTTGTTTGAATCACACCCTGTGTCGGCCCTAAGTAACCAAAGTATCCAGCCCTTTTCCCAGACGATTAAATCAGAATGAGGTTACGAAAGCTTCCTGGAACATTTTCTGAGCTCAGCGATAGGTCTGTGCCTTTAAACTTTTCAGAATCACGACTTCTTTAAAACTTTTCTCAATCAGCCCATAAATATATCTCAAAAGGCGAAAGCCTGGGGTGGTGGGGACAGCAAAAGCTACAGGATCAGGAGACCGGACCCTCGACTGACCTTCACATTAACTGCACGAGGACCACTAAAATTACAAACGCCAAGGGCTGGATGCCTCTTAATAAACCTCTGGGGGCTTCTGCATCCATTTTCACAGCCTGAATTCTGCGGATGCTGTCATTTCATTATCAAAAGAGAAATAACTGTTGAAAAACACTTTACAAATTCTAGCACACAAATGTTCAATAATAAGATGAACGGAGGACCCTACCAGAAAATATTTTGACCTTGTTACTAACACCAAGCAGTGAGCCAAACATGCATGTTGTGATGCACTTCGCATCTAAACTGCTTGCATCTGCAGGTGGCTGAGTTATGGCATCTGCGCTTTATGTTCCAAGAAAAGTCAGCATGACGTCCCTAGAGTTGCTTATTTCCACCATTCAGCTGACAAGGGATAGAAAATCGGTCTGCATAGCCAGGATTCTTCAAATACTTCAAGAAGCACATCTCCTGGCAGAGCTGCTCTCCAACCAGTACCCCAGTGGCAAGGAAGTCTCCAGAGAGCCCTTCAGACACATGAGCTACAAAAACTTCAAATCAAGAAGTTGCGTCAGTGGGACATGTCTGTAACTTCAGCCCTTTGGGAGGCCAAGGCAAGAGAATCGCTTGAACCTCGAGTCCCAGACCAGCCTGGGCAACACGGTAAAACCCAGTCAGTACCAAAAATACAAACATTAGCTAGGCATGGTGGTGCACACCAGTAGTCACAGCTCCTCAGGAGGCTGAGTTTGGGAGGATTGCTTGAGCCCAGGAGGTGGAGGTTACAGTGAGCCAAGATTGCACCACTGCACTCCAGTCCAGGCGATGGTGTGAGACCCTATCTCAAATAAAATATATTTTTTTAAAGCAGCAGCAGCAGAATCAGAAGCCACATATTGTAGAACTGAGATCAACTTAAATTTTTCATGATAGTTTGTCCAACTACTTGGTAATTTCCAGCTAAATTAGTCCTAGGCATGCATACAGTTGGATTTTTATTTCAAATGGTTTTTTTTTTGAGATGGAGTTTCGCTCTTGTCATCCAGGCTGGAGTGCAATGGCATGATCTCAGCTCACTGCAACCTCTGCCTCCCAGGGGAAAGCGATTCTCCCGCCTCAGTCTCCTGAGTATCTGGGACTACAGGCGCGTGCCACCAAGACCGGCTAATTTTTGAGTTTATGAGTAGAGATGGGGTTGTGCCATGTTAGCCAGGCCGGTCTCGAACTCCTGACCTCAGGTTATCCACCCACCTCGGCCTCCCAAAGCGTTGGGATTACAAGCATGAGCCACCATGACCGGCCCTACTTCAAATAGTCTTGCATCTAAAATGACTCATAGTCACAAAGCAAAATACTCATTTTTTTTTCCCACCAGATTGATCTGATTTCAACATCTTTACAGGAAAAAAGACTGATCATTGTGATTAAATCCTAGGTAACTATCAAAGGAATCAAGATGAAGACAAAAACAGGGTATTTATCAAGCCACTACCAACACTTCTTACGAAACATGAATAACTCTTCCTTGCTTAACCTCAGAGAGAAGGCAGGTGCACCCCCTGCGTGACATCCACAGCTATAAGCTCTGGCAGGCGCACAGCAGCCCCAGCGAATGAATAAATATCCTCCTCTCTGCAGGGGGACATCCTTAGAACTGAAAGGATAAGGTGGGATCCAA